TCCCTACAGGCATCTTTCTTTACATGCAGTTCTGTGAAACTCTGAGCCCTTCTACAGTCTAGGCAAATTTAAAGTAAGTTTTATGTTCTAAATGAATTAAAGTAATTGGGATGAATTTAAACATCAGGAACAAATGAGTTTTAATACAGGAGTAATCTCTTCACATACGAGTTGACTCTGTAAGCAAAAAGAGCATTAAAAATGTTTCCTTTTATATACAAAGAACAGTCAGTAAGAAGTGAGAGTTATAAAGAAAGCAAAAGGGGTTATGAGGTAGCGTTGTTTTCTTTTTCCACTCAAAATGGTTGTACAGAAATAAAAAAATAAAAAGGAGTCAGCTTACAGGAAATTTCACTTATTAGGGTTGCTTGTCATTCAGTGACCATTTAATGGTAAACACTGTTAGTGGAAGCTGTAAGAAATAAATCAGACACGCCCTGATAGTAAAAGAGCATTTTCCATTACACTACATGCTACCGAGGCAGGAAATACAGCTCAGTTTATGAAAGTGAATCTCTTAACTCTTCAAAAATAGAAGCAATATCGTGAGATAAAATACACACACATTATGACGCTACATCTATTACACCATAATGTAAAGTCTTCTTTAGCTTTGCTGTAATTTTAAAGGGTCAGATAAGAATGACTAATCTTTAATTTAATTCCATGTGTGTTATTATTATTATTTTAAATTTGGCCAGAGAGAGACAGAAAGGGAAAGTGAGAAAGCAAGTTGCCCTGTCCAGGCCTTGAACCATGGTCCCCCATGTGGGAATCTAGCACCTTAACCACCATGTCACCTGCCGGCCCAGCATGACTGATCTTTTAAAATACAATAATATTGGCAGTTTCTGTTCTTAGGTTTGCTTTAAGTCAATTTCAAGTCTTAGATTTACCAGGTTGACTTTGTTACTAAATAAATTAAGAAAACTTTACTAACTTGTGTTTAACCTTCTTATAATGCATTAAAAAATTATGAATGGTTTGGCTTTTATGTTGGTGCTTTTAAAAAATGTCATGACAGACCTCATGTTATTCTAACTCCCAAATCTCCCCTCAAGTGACATTGGACCAATTTTCCTTATAGTCTGTATTTTTGCTTCAAGAGAGATTTATTCAACTTCTTTTTACTTATATTCCATATTTACAATTCTTTTCCATTCTGTTGCCTCCAAGACAGGCTTCCAACTTCTCCTAAGTTATTACCATAAGGCATTTCCTGGGGAAAGGAGCCCTGTGTCCCTCCCTCTGGCTGTTATGGCTCATATGCAGAAGTTACTAATTGTCAGGGACCTCTTATTTCCAAACATTTTTTCAAACATATTGAAGATTAAAATAACACATTTACCAGCAGACTTGATACTTGACACTTCTATTTCTATAATTTCTTAGAGTTGAGTAGTAAAGAAAAAGAGTGCTAAAAACACACAAATACCTTCCAAAGTTTTATGTGGTTCGGGCAGCCATGAGAAGTACAGCAGCACCTCATTTCACTCATGAATTTAACAAGATCTTTTGACACAAAAACAATAGATGTCAAAGGATAAGATAGTGTTGAAGGGACCAGCAGTTGGCATAATGGCTATGTCGCTGGACTCCCATATAGTCGACCATGGTTCAAGTCTCAGACCTGGTAGCTTAAACTCACTCCGGGCGTGTGTGTGTGCTTGCCCAAGACCCTGAGAGGAGACTGGAGAAGGGATTGTGGTGTGGTCATCCCTCCTGGGGGGAGGGGTGATTTTCGCTTTCTGTCTCTCTGTCTCTCTGGAAAGAACACATGCCCTACAGGAAAAAAAAAATCTATTAAAAAAAAGAACATAGTTGGGGCCGGCAAGTGGCATGGTGGATAAAGGCACTGGACTCCCACATGGCCGACCACGGTTCAAGTCTCGGACCTGGTGGCTTGCTTTCTCACTTCCTCTCTCTCTCTCTCTCTCTCTCTGTCTCTCTCTGATCAAACTGGAAAATAATAATGATCATAATAATAAAGTTAAAATAAAATAATTCTTAAAAAAAAGAACATAGTGCTGAAAATGAAGTTCTCTAAAACTGAATAACTCTTGATTTCCATATAAAATCCTTATGCATGTACATCTACAATGGGACTTCAAAACAGTCATGGAAAAATGGAATTAAAGTATAAGTTTATATTTTGGTGCAAAATTTTTGAAATTTATGTGCAATTTTTTCATAATATTTCCATACATTTCTTATGAATTTTTGAAAACCACTTGTATGTCAGAGTAAAATTCATAAAATGGTAGGGCCTAGTTTCTAAATGACTACTCTAGGGCTGGCTTTGTGGTATGTGCTTATAATCCCAGTCGCTTGGGAGGCAGAGGTAGGAGGATTTAAGTTTGAGGCCAGCTTGGGCAACATAACATGATCTTGTCTCTAAAATCATTAAATAAATAAATGGTTACTCCAGCTATAAAGCTAATAAAACTCCAAAGTTAAGGGTAAACACTTTTCTTTTTTTTCTTTTTTTTCAGTTTACACACTACCATGCATGGTTTAGAGATAAACATCTCTTACGACCTATGTTTATTTTAGTGAATGAAATGCCACAACTCTTTAACAGTGATCAGTCTCTCTGACATTGCATTAACAAAAAATACACATTAACACAAGTTGCTGAAGAAATCTAATGCAACAAATAAAATAGGTAGTTCTAGTCCCAGGTTATAAGAAGCAATAATAATTTCTCTCAAAGAAAACTGTAATGGGGCCAGCTGGTGGCTTAGTGGTGAAAGTGACTGGACCCTGCCTGGCTGACTGTGTGGTTCAAGTCTTGGATCTAGTGGTTTAAAAAACACCCAGTGCTTGTGCACATGTGCCTGAAATCCTGAAAGGAGAATGGAGGAGAAGGATTTGTGGTGTGGTCATCCCTCCAGGGGATGCTTTCTCATTTTCCCTCTCCCTCTCTTGCATGCCTTAGTAAAAACTAAAACAAAACAAAACAAAAAACAATAACTTATGATTATGATAACTAAATTTTACTTTCATATTTTTCAGAGAACAAAATAACCTATGCATGCTTTATAACTTTTTAAAAGCCACATTTATTAAATTCTGTTGATTGTACATTTTTACTTAAAAAAAAACACTATTCGTAAAATCCACAATAAAAATGCCCTGATATTTTTCTAGAAACGTGATGGCACACAAAGTATTTCATATTATCAAAAATTTATCATTATATTTTATTCAAATCCTAAATATTAATTACTATGTAAAAGACTTTCCTTTAAAAATATAATTCTTAGGTAAAAGACTTTATTTAAGAGACCAGTAGATAGCATAACAGTTACATCACTGGACTCCCACATAGTCAACTGTGGTTCAAATCCTGGACCCAGCGGCTTAAAACTCATGCCGGTGTGTGTGCATACATGTCCAAAATCCCGAGAGGAGAATGGAGGAGAAGGGACTGTGGCATGGCCATTCCCCCTGGGGAGTGATTCTAGCTTCTCGTTCCTGTCTGGTGAGTGCACATACCCTATAGGAAAACAAATAAATAAATAAATAAAATAAAAGACTTTATTTAATACAAAAATAATGTCTATTGTTCTCATAACATATGCCAGAGTTTATTTACTCCAAGCCAAAAATGATGGATCCTCAATAAAATTAATCTTTGAGATGTCTACCCAATAAGCAAAATAACACTCTGCTTGCCAGTTGGCTGGTTGAAGCTCTTAGTAAAGATAAATGACTTTCTAGCTTAGAGTATAGATGAACATGTCCTTAATTTTATAATATAAAAATGTGTGCACACAAATCTCTTCTTTTATCACACAAATACCTGCCATATGCTTGTGTGGCTACACCTTGTCATGGAAAAATTGTATCACTGTGAAAGTCATGATACATTTTTGCACAGAAAAACAAAACTATGTCATGACTTTCCCAACAACATAATAAAATTCTAAAAAGATATATGAAGTATGGAAAAAAATGCAACCATAATTGTTAGAAGAGAAAAATACATCACTCACAGAATAATAAAACCATTTAAATTCACAAATAATACTTTCTTCAGTTCATGGAAAAACAAAAGAGCTTTCTGGTTGGGCTGGAAATTTGTGAATATCACCTCCAAGGAAATGTTCATGAAATAAAAGGCTGAGGTTGTAAGTCTAAAAAGACACAGTGAAACTGTAAACCATCTGCTGTGTTTGAGTTCTATTTTCCTACTCTCGAAGCATCGATAACACTATTTATTCCTACTTTTTCTCCTCTCTAGGGCTTAATCCAGTCAGGTGGGCCAGATATGTGTGAATCAACACCTCACAGGGC